GGAGTCTACGACTATCAAAATTTTGTGAACTTCTTCTATTGCATGACTAAAAATAAACAATAAAATGGCACATACGTTAGATCCCTTAATTTACGCAGTTCTGCCTTTGCCTGCGCTAATTCAACGTTTGCATGTCGTTCGTATGACGACGGTGAAGGAGTGCGAACACCTAAAATGTTTGAAGAATTTAATCACTTCTTGAGCATCTTCTTTCTTCTTCTCAATTCTCTAAATGCAATTTTTCCTCTCCCTTCTCGTCTTCCTTTTTTTTTTATTACTTTTTGATCCAGTTTCAAGGTATTTTCGGGGAGGAAAACAGTTAAAATGCATAACGTATAATGAAATCATTTAAAACAAATATGCAAGAACATAATTTGATGTATCATTATCATGACCCACCGTAACGGATTTCACCAATTTTTGTACGTGTTAGTGTTTCTCCAGATACTGATGATGAACCTGTTGTAGTACTTCCTTCATCGCTTTCCTGTTAACAGTATTAACGCATTTAATACTAGCTCAAGCAAAAAATATTGACACACACATATGCACACGCAGGAAATAGCAGTAGTAATACTGAAAAACAAAATTTACATGTTCTTGAGCCATCTCCAGAAGGCAATTAGCGTAATTGTCGCGCTCCTTCATCACCCTCTCGAGATGCGCGAGGACGCTGACGCACTGCTGGTCTCTGTTCTCGAGCTCCAGTGCACGGATGTTTAGAACGCAGTCGCCTTCTTCGGTCACCTGAACACATGAATCCTTTACTCGTTGTCATTGTTCAATTTAAACATCCACTGAACAGAACGACAACCACTTTCATTTTTGTTTATTCTTGGCTACTTCATTTTCTTTACTTCTGTTAACACATCCAACATAATTTTCGTCGACAGCAATCTTTTACTGGTAGCAATTGCAACGTCACAAATACGCCATTAACAATCTTTTCTAATTGGTGGAAAAAAGTGTTGGAAAGTGAAATCATTGACCGAAAGGAACTTTCAACAGTTTTTGCAACAGTTAGTAACCTATTATAAACAAAAAAACAAATCACCTATTTTTCAAAAAAAATTATGTATTCATCTGTATAAAAATGACATACAAACTGTTGTTTTTTTTTTTTTTCTTAATGCCAGTTACCGCATCGTCAATTACTACAGCAAAATTTTGGCAACAATTTGAAAAGAAATTATAAACTTATTATGGCTGAAAATGAGGCTAACAAAAAAAAAAATTCCTGTCAGCAAAAAATAAAAAAAAAAAAGAAGACAAAGAATTGAAATTTCTTTTTACTTTCTTTTTAATATGATATATAACAAAGTTTTTTTAGGTAATGGAGTGAATTGAGTGAGTTTAATGATATTGAAATGAGAAACTGTACTACAAAATAACTGTCAATCTTTGCTTTTTGTTTTTGATTGCCATTTTTTTCTTGACAACTGGCAAAAAAAGAAAGGATGAAAACGAGAAACAAAAAGAGCTGGGACAAAGACCAGCTGAATTTGCATTAAAAAAATTTCTTTCCTGGAAAAAGGTAGATAATTATCAGAAACTATATATATGCTCATCACTTATAATAAACTGAATACCAATAATAGTGTTATAATATTTATATGTGGTAATAATAACAATAATGGTAGTGACTAGAAAAAGCAGTGGTCAAAACCATTTGAAAACATGCCTATCGGTCATTTGGCTGGGGACAAGAGAAGGAGGAATGTGGTTGTAGAGGAAAGGAATTTAGGAGAAGAAAAAGGAACGGAATTGTCTTTTATCACTTTAATGTACGTCCAAAAAGAAAAAAGAAAAAAAGGGGGGAAAAAAAAGGAACAGATCAAAAAAGAACTTCTTAATAATTTCCCTTTTTTTTTGTTCATGAAAAAAAGAAAATAAATTTTTTTTCTCCCCTTCCCTAATATTACACTTCAATATAGCAAAAATATTTTGGTTTTAAAGCAGAAACAAACGTATTGAACAGAAACGGCGGTGACGCTAAACTTTTTTGTCTTTGTGTTCCTCGGCTAATAGCAACAATGGGATGATTGGGGAGGGAGAAGGGAAAGAAGTGGACGAGCGGAATACGAGGAGATGGAAACTGCTGCTGCTGTTGTTGTTGTTGTTG